CCTTTAATTACTGTTCCCATTACTAAACCCGTCTTATCTAATATTCTATCCAGTATTTTCGTCCAATCTTCGTTATTTCCTCTGAGCTGAAACTATCGGAGAGCTCTATTCGCACCCGTTTTTGGTCTAGTACTAGTGTTGTGACGTACTGCTCATATTTGGAATTAGTATGCTTGGTACACATACGCACACAAACGTGCGGTTGGTGGATTTTTCCGATACCTGGTGTAGTAGATTAAAAGATTTATTAGTGTATATACAAAAGAAACGAAGAGATTACCGCGCTGCTTGGCTGCGGATCAAGAGACTTCGTGCCGCTATTGATCAACTGTTACAGATTGATATTTTGTTCTCATCCGTTGTACTCTTTTAATAAGCAACGTTCCTCTGTCCGGTGTTACCTTGTAGATCTATAACACTATGTCGTGTTCCAAAGGACCCCCGTTCGTCTTCAGTTTACGTATAAGCGAAGTTGGTCTTCGTAAGATGTCATCATTTCCCCATATTCACTGGGATTGTGGTTAGCTTCTCGAAATCCAGCTCAATGACCTCTTCATCTTTAAAAGTTACAGTCACTCGGTTGTCTCGCCACATTTTTGTCGTGGTATTAGTCTCTTTCTGACAGTTTATCACGAATGCACACAGTTACGGAACGGTTCGGTTTTCCTCTGAATGTTTTCAAGTGCTTGGAATGAATGCTTACTATTTTGGAACACTCAAGTATCATTTCTTGACCCACAACTACAATTGTAAATCATCAGCTATTTGTTCTTTTGTCTATCTGTACATTTATCCCCTGTCAAACTTTCTTGTTTCCCCGTGATTCTATCTGACCTACTTACAGAATATTTCATTACTGTTCTCCGCTGTTTGGCAACTATTAGTCGTGTTCCTCCTCCTCTTCCGTTGTGAGGATTTTGCTCCTCGAGATCTTAACTAACCCAACCATTCGTTCAATCCTGATCTATCTACCTATCAACTTCCCGTTCCCAAGCGACAACCAAAGCCAATTTGCGCTGCCAGAGTAGCCCGTATACACGGTTGCTGTATTATTCGGCAGTACTCCAGTTGACTCACACACCAACTAGCACGACGAAGTTCAGTTCAGTCTCAGTTTTTACAACCATCAACCATGCACTTTTGTGCTCCCGTTTTGGTTACTGTCTTTCAGTCACCCGTTTGGATCAGAGAGCCGGATGAAGATTGGAATGTTGAAAGCAAATTCGAGCAGAGGAAGAAGATTTTGCATGAATCGGTTGTTTAGTTTTGTGTAGATGATCCTCTTCTCATTCACGATTCATCGTTGCTCTATTTGAAAGTGATCGTCATTTTTAACTCAGTGAAACGGAGAAAATACATTTTAAGTGAACTAAGTTGGTGTAGAGGCATGCACAGCTCGCTTCATCGCAATACAGTGAGTGCTTCTAGTCCAGCATTCCTGGTTCGGTAGTTCCATACTTTGTTGATGTTTTGTGAATCTCGGAGCTATATGAATGAAAGATTGTCGTGGTCTGCAGTGCAATGCGGCCAGGATGGAGTTATATGAGACCAAGGAAAGAGCAAGGTGAGATAAGAAGCCTGAGGTGTGCAAATGAAATAGCTTGGGAATAGAATTGTAGCGTGTGAACAGAATGTGCTTGAACACCCCTCTGAGCGGTTGGGTGATTTTCTCTTGACAAGAAAGCTATTTAGAAGGACTACGGCAGAATAACTTCCAGACAAATAATGTATGACAGCGATTTGAAGATCCTTCGGGAGGAGCATTTCCCAGGTGTTCCATGGTTCCATTGTTTTAAACAGAGATCATCCTGTATGTAAAAAAGATCGATAGATTGCTGAGACATCAGTAAACTCTATCTGAAGAGTAAAGTATTTTTTTTACAAAGAAAGGAGATCAAAAGGGTAGAAATCGAACTCAAGGGGTTTCAGATAACAAGTGTACTAGTTTTCTCTGATCTGTTTCACAGGCTCCAGAAATTTGCGGCCTCCGAATGAGACCAGAGTATAAGGTTTGGTTGCCATATTCAGCAAAGGGGGAAGATAAATTGGTTCAATGAAGAAAGGAAAGGTTCTCTGTGGCTTCCGCACCGTAAAGACCGTTTTGGATCACGGTTGGGACCAGGTGGACAGATCAGCTAGTTTTGTCCTGAATGTGAAGAGAATGAAAGACTGCTAGTGGACCAGAAAACGAGTACCACAATACAGATTATCTTCCTGAATTCGGAAAGGACCATTACTATAGGCGTAGTTGTGATACGCGTCAAATATCACGTGATTTGATGACATATTTTGTTGGAGTAGCGTTGCACATTGTACTGTGATCCAAAAGCATCTCAACGTGTGTGCTTTCTAATTTAGTCCCAGTAAAACTACGTTTATCTAAACAAACAAGCACTTCATCTACAATCCGAAGAAATGGTTTGATCACGCAGTGGATTACTTCAAAAAGCGCGAACACAAGTATGATAAAGAAGGAAAAAGAATGCAGCCTCCTAGACTACTCTGTTCAAATCCTTCCCTATTCGGAATCACATTGGGCGAACGAAAGGTGACATGTCTGATTAAAACCGATTTGCTCTGCTATTTGTTCGTCGTTTAACGTATGCAAAGAATCGTGTGTGCCATTGAAGAACCGCCATCAAAGCCATCACAATCATGTGCTAGATTATACAGGGTGCTGTGTCCCGTAAAGTGAAACCAGTCAGAGCAAACAATGGCACCTAAAGAAACAAAATGTATGCAACAATCAAGTAAGAACTTGTGGATACTCTCGGTTGGTGTTTGATCTCAGTGAATTTTGATCAGCGGGTTCGGCTGAGTGTGGCTGATGACGTGGTGATTGGATCAGGTATGCTACTCCTTCAATCCGACGGATTGGTTAGTCCATCCTCTAAATGCACATAGTGCAACACTACTGGTGGTTCGAGCTCCTACTCACATTTGTGAATAGTATGATTGGATTGCACAAAGGAATGTGAATGGCGGTATCTCAAAACGGTCAGGGATGAACAGAACCTCATAGAACGAATTGCTGTGTTAAAAAATGATAACCAAGGACTGTTATATTCATTGGTCTATGTTCTGCTGGGAACTTCGATGACATGTTCAAAATGAGACATCTCGTTATATGTACGCAAATAAATCCATACCCTAATTGTGATCTCGGACGGGTGTGAAATATAATAATAATTATAATATTCTCCTCAACCCAGTACTGGTCTTTTGGATGCATAGTGGATGCTAGTGTATGCTCTAGTGAATGACATAGACAACAAGATCAGATGTGGCGAGGTGTGGCCCTACGCAAATTAAGCCCTCACTGTGAAACCAACCATTCTGACAACCAATGATTCAAAGAAACAAAACAGCCACAAAACTAAGTGACCAGTGAGAATCAATGAGCCCAGATCTATATGTATCATAGCTAATGCTTTTGCCCTGGAAACGGAAACCTAATCTTTAGAATTGTTTTAAGAACTTCTGCTCTAACGTTGTTGCGGTTCGTGTTATCACTG